GAAAGACCCACTGACGTTTCAGATCAAGAATTCGAAAAGTTCGTCAACAACGCAGCGCGTTACTTCATCCTGGAAGGCAACTTATGGCGCAAAGTATCAAATGGCCAACATCAGCTCGTGCTGCCCCCAAGTAACGCTATCGAGTTCTCAAGGAGGCGCATGACGATTTAGGGCACAAGGGTACTTATACCGTCAGCGCGCGCCTACGGCTGCGCTTTTGGTGGCCGCACATCAGGGAAGACATCAAATGGTATGCGCGGACATGTCATGAATGCCAAGTGCGCCAAACGCGCAAATTGCATATTCCTCCAATCGTGCCAATGCCAGGTGGTCTATTCCGCAAAGCGCACATCGACACGATGAAGATGCCCAGAGTGGGAGGGTTTGAATACCTTGTGCAAGCGCGATGCGCACTAACATCGTACCCTGAATGGCGCATGCTGCGCAAAGAAAATACTCACGCGCTAACCGCATTTATTTTCGAAGAGCTCTTGTGTAGGTGGGGTCCGATCACAGAAATAGTAACGGACAACGCGCCCGCATACAGGCTCGCAGTAGACGAACTCGTGCGCAAATATAAAATACACCCAATCCGCATCTCACCATATAATTCTCAGGCAAACGGTATAGTCGAACGACGACACCTGCGATGTCCGGGAGGCCATCATTAAAAGCTGCGACGGAGATGAGTCACGCTGGTATCAGGTAGTCCATTCAGTGTTCTGGGCAGAGCGCGTCACCATTCACAAAGCGACGGGTTTATCGCCCTATTTCATGATGCACGGCGTCGAGCCAATATTTCCCTTTGATCTCGCTGAAGCGACATTCCTCGCGCCCTTGCCGAGCCGAGGCGCGTTCACCACTACTGACCTTATAGCATGGCGCGCGCGCCAACTTCAGAAACGCATGGAAGATATTAACGCAATCAGAGATAAAGTTGTCGCGGCGCGTTTCAAGTCGATACGCGATTTCGAGAAATGCTTCCGCGCGTCTATCAAGTCGCACGACTTCGAACCCGGCACCTTGGTATTGGTGCGCAACTCGAAGGTCGAATACGAATTAAGCAAGAAGACGAAGCCGCGCTATTTGGGACCTATGATTGTAGTGCGCCGCACGAAGGGAGGCTCATATATGCTGGCCGAGTTGGACGGCGCGATCTCAAAACTCCGGTTCGCTGCGTTCCGCGTCATCCCTTATTATCCACGTAGCGGGGAGCGTGTGTCGGTAACCCAAATGACTGGAGTGGACGACGAGAGCATCGATGATCTAGAAGCTTATGAATCCATAGAACCCGAAGAAGACGAGCCCGAGCACGCGCAAGATGATTAGCACGCACAACAATTCCCCCCCATTCCGCACATCGCCCAATTATATCTGCATCCCCGCACATTCCTCAGAAAAAAAAACAAAAACAAAACAAAAACACCAAAATAAAAACAAGAACAAAAACAAAAACATTCCATTAAGTACATACTCTCAGTTTTACCCCGGGTTTCGTCCGGTGATATCAGTTTCTATCATTTGTCTCATATAACGCGCATTGCCTGCACATAATCCCCACAGACTCTAAAATAGGACGACAGAACACAAAAATACTAATATTCCGCAAGTACATACTACTAACTACCTTACTTGTATAGCGCGCGCATAGTCTCACCCATAGACCTTCACCTTCTAACGTGCGCGCCGCGCCGCGCACTTTTACTTTTCCTTAGAAATCGCGCGCCACCACCCCGTATGCGCGAGGCGCAATATAGCAGGAATAGACGATGAAAGACACGCGAAGAAGACAAGACGGGCGCGCACCCCCGCAGAAACCCTAGGTAAAGTCTATCGCATTACCTTGATCTTGTTTCGCGCTCGCGCCTTACTTACATACTTATAATTTTAATTCATAGCCTGGTAAATCAGACGAGGACATGGACATGGACATGGGACGCAAGACAAACTGGATCTATTGCACAGGCGCATTGGTGCCCAGGAAAACAAACACAAAAGCATCTAGTTAAGAGAGGCATTGACGCGCTCCTCAAAGTCAGACCAGTCTTGGGACATAGAAAAAAGTTTGTTGGACAGCGCCAGGAGGTCCGCCTGCTGGGCGCGCGCATACTGGCGCATCTTCAAAGCGGACGCGCGCATAAGCGCATTTTCCTCCCTCAGGCGCGTGGTCTCAGCCTGAGCTTCTTTCAACTCCTCCTCTGGTCCCTTGAACTTGCCTTTTCCCTTAGGCGCAGAGCCAGACGCCAAAGGACCAACGGCGCGCACAGGGACATCGCGCGAGGCACGCACGACCTTATCCTGCACAGTGCGCTCATCAACAATCATCACATCCATGCCAGACCCTTCAGACCCTTCTCCTTCTTCAACCGCAATAGAGGAAGCGGTCTCCTTTGCAGACTCAACAGCCATGGGGCGCTTAGGCATCAGCTTGCGCGGACGCACCTTAGGTCCATCTGAAGTCTTGCGCTTAGCTAATCAAAGGCGTTAGTAGTGCGCCAACAAATATTCCCAAGGCGCAACTTACAGAAGGAACACGCGCGCTTGGAAACATCACAAGGAGGGCACCGCCTGCCAGGCGCGCCTCTGCAGTCCTGATCCTTGTTGGCGCAACTGGTGCAACGCGGCGCTTTGACGACAGACATACGCCCAACCTTGCGCTAATACAACAGAATGCATCAGTAGAGTAGCGCAACAATGAGACATAGAGGAACGCACCTGTTCGGCCACATCTGTACCAGACGCATCAGTGGTGCGCGCCTCAGCACCGGTAGCATCAGTGGCGCGCACAGCACGCTTGGGAGGCGCCTCTGGAACAGTCTCAATCGCCTTCGCCTTCCATCCCTTCACCAGCGCCTCAATCTCTTTACAACCCTTGCGCCCCTGCTTCAGGAACTCCGCGCCCTTTTCGTCCATATCCAACTCCACGCCCAGTACACCCGCGCGCTCAGAACAGCCGTTCAAGGTTGCCTAGGATGGTCAGATGACACAAAGCGGGACATGTAAGGCACACTCACAAGCACAGAATGCCACTCGCGCATCCACATCTCTTGATCCTCGAGGAGCTCCGGCTTGAGATCAGGCGCCGCCATGACACCAAGGAAGAGGCCCAGGCGCTGAGGAGACGATCGGTATTGGATTCAGCGCTAGCGTCAGCCATAGGCGCATCCTCAGGGTGACCTTGCGCCACAGGCTCAGGTTCTGGAGAGGGGGTGGCGTTCAGCATAGCGGCAGTGAAAGGAGGCATGATGGTATTGATAAGAAGGAAGACAAGAGATCGCGAGAACACAACCATCTCTTATCAATACTTCCATCGATTAGATCAGCGATGCTCGCGATCATCAAAGGAATGGCCCTACTCTCGCAATCACATGACCCCTGTCTATCACCACTTCTTCAAGTCCAAAATCCCGCGTTATAGCGCTGAGTGGGGACACTCAGAATGTAAGTCCCCAGGAGATGTAGAGACTTGCACCTCTCAATGCGGAATATACGGCCCTATTACCCACATAATTCCCTACACGTTCCAGCTCTTATCCGAAGGATCAGTCATACGCGCTCTCACGCGCGCGCCCTACATACGCGCCTCGTTCGCGCGCCTTACACGCACTCGCGCCTTTCGCGCGCGCTCGTGCGCCTCCCCTTAGGCCTTCGTACCCTTGTCCATCCGTCCGTCCTATGTCCTCGCTGATTTACTGGTGCGTTATTCTTATCCCTTTCACTGAATTGACGTACCTTCGGTCCGATCTCCGCGCTTACATACAGAAAGTCTATCATAGGCTTTAGAATATATTTAGAGTTGATATGGTTACTCGGTTCGGTACCACGCTCAGAAGCGCGCCGCATAGCGTAATCTCCCTTCTTAAATAGAGGGAAAGTTCCTTGGAACGGACTTCCTTCCCTTCTCCCTTATCTGAGTATACTGCAAATTGTATAAGTGCACCTTAGTACTTGAAATCCGATTATACTTCACTATTCTACCATCGCTCGCGCATCTGCTATACTTGAACACTCTCCCCCATCGCTCAAAAGCACGCTTCCGCATACATGCGCGCCCCTCGCATCTTTCGCTCGCGCGCGCCCTACGCGCGCCTTCGCATTGCTTACTTGCGCCTACGCGCGCGTTATCTTCTCGCACCTTCGCGCGCCTGTTACCACCCGTCTAGTTGGCGAAGACTCCCTCCATTACATTAAAGAGGAACTTCTCTCAGTAGCTGTCCTTTGGGTCGAGTCATATTCTCGTATCCTGGTCTTACTGTAGAACCCCCGTTAGCTTTTGTTACAGTAACATGGCACGAGTCCCCCACCAGCAGACAGCCCTCTGCCACCGTACGGCTATAGACGATACCGGAGTCTCACCAGCTCTATGACGATAGATGACGATAGATGATGATAGATGATAAGTGGCAACTGCCGGCTTAGATAAGCGGTCTGGACCGCACGTGACATGACATGACGACATAGGTCTAGAAGACCTATTTATGTTATCAAGATAGAAGGCAAGCCTCATGTTGCCTCATGTACTGATAGAAGGATACCACGTGGATCCTATCTCTGATGGAAGCGTACTGCATGGACGCTATCTACGATAGAAGCCCGCCTCATGGACGCTATCTCTGACTCGAGTAGATAAGCAGATTAGAACCCAGCTTCGAGCTGAGCTTAGATACGATAGAGTAGCCTTATATAAGGTCGAAGATTAAAGTAGACGTTCCTTACTTTAATCTTACTAGGTTTACCCTTGAACTCCTTGTCCCACTAAAGCTACCTGCTCGACATCGACTCGTACCTTCAGTGACGCCTCTCACTGTCTGTAAACCCTGCTATCATCTCAGCGTAACCCCTCGTTAACCACCACGAGCTACGTTCGAGTACGCAACCTTTGCTCGTCTGTAAAGGCCGACGACTCTCAGCACTCGGTACCACTGTCGTGGTTGTCGCTGTTAGATTATCCTAGTCGCACACGACCGTTTGTCGTAACAGCTTTAGTGTTTCACCTATAGTCAAGATTCCTCACCTTCAGCGCGAATTCTGTTCTGAAGGTGGAGCACGGTGAGTGTCTGAGTACCTTCGTCTAGGTCTGTACGAAGTGCAGCTTCTTCTAGCAACTTCGTGGCTTTAATGATGTGCACGGCGAGGGAGGTGCCTGATGCAATGGTTGCACTTATATCACCGAGGATGTTGTCGATCTCTCGGGAGTACGTGGGGGTGAGGATGGCGGTTTCGCTGAACGCGCAATTCTCAATTGTTCTGAGGATTCGTCCGTAATCGGAGTCCTTCAGAGTCACAGTGGTAGGAGTTTCGGTGGGAGTCGTCATGATGGTAGGAGGTTCTGAGGAATTTTAACTGTAGGGAGAGTGTCTTATATGTTTCTCCAGGTCGTTCCAAGCTCCGCTTGAGTCAGACTTATCTTTCGTTAAACTCTATCAAAGTTCAATTGCGAGGGTGTGTTGCTCCTCGTGTTCTAATCTATCATCAGAGGGTGTTAATCATTGCCATGATGGGAGGGCGCGTTTCGTTATCTTTTGTTGATAAAGTCTACGGTCGGCGGATCTAGAGGATCTTGCGGGTTTGCAGGAGTTTCCGAAAGGTTCGTCTCGTGATAGTTTAAGTGTCGTTCCGGACGATCAGGGGAAGGTAAGGGCCAAAAGGCTTGCAGGAGTTTCTCTGGGGATTCCCTCGTCTTCGTCGTCTTCTTGATCTCTTGTTAAGGTTTGCTCAACGTGGATGTCAAAGAGGGGTGGTCTAGTTTAAGCGTCGTTCCGGACGTACGGTGTCATAACCTTTTTGTTGTTAATACTTGAGGTAGAGGACAGGGGGGTATCCAAGCATAGGGGGCCGGAGGGTGTCCGGGGTCGTCCAGCGAGGAAGGTAGTTTAATGTTGTTTCAGACAGTCTTAGTTTAATGTCTTTCCGGACAATCGCATAGTTTATAGTCGTGCTGGACTCAGGTCTAGTTTATAGTCATAGCGGACTTGGGTCTAGTTTAGCGTCATAGTGGACGTGTCGGCAAGAGTCGAAAGGGGTAGAGACCTATTAGATAGAAAAAGGTGTGGAAAAGGTAAAAGCAATGATGAATTTACCCCGTCACTAGGACATTGATCTACCACGATTAACGAAATTAAAAGTCCAATTCAAGTTCTCCGCAGTCAGGGTCATCAGAAGGAGAGGCGATAGTGAAATTGCCGATCATCCGAATATATGAGGATCCGGGGTTGTCTTCTTCGTCAGAGTCGGATTCATCAGAATCCTCATCAGCCGATAAGGCTGGTTCTGGAAGTGCGGGGGGCGTCAGAGGACGCGCATTCAAGTGCTGGATCACCATGTCGAAATAGCTTTCGACTGGGTTCTGGTTGGGGTCAACCGACGACATCTGTACGTCGGTGACTGGGGGTGTCGCGGGGCTTACAGCATGGCCCGGTTCGGTGTCTTCACTGTCGGACATGGGCATGTCCTGGTGACAGAGAGGGACGGGTTCTTCGTTATCAAACCATAGTTTCTTGGCTGCCGGTCGATCTGCCATGAAGATGGCTCTTCCTTTTCCGAGAACGGATGTCGGCTCTCCGGAAAACATAAACTTCATCTGAGTTTTCTCTGGTTCAGGGGCCAGTCTAGGGATTTTGGCAGGGGGTGCTTCTGCCATGACAATCGCGCATCCTTTGCCAAGGACAGACGCGGGTTCTGCCGAGAATTTAACATTCGGCTCAGAGGTGACGGAAGGCCTCTTCTTTTCATTTAGAGTCAGGAAGGGGTTTTTCGGGACTGGTGGGGGCGCTAAAGACGCAGATGTCTTGGCGACTTGTTTCCTCACAGCTTCTTTGGGCTGTGGTGCGGTCTGCTGCGGTTGAGAGGTTGCGGCAGTCTGGGGTGTGGGTCCTTCTTCAGGGATTTCCACAATCTGGGCATAGGGCATAGCAGCCGGTGCCGGTGCTAGTTTATACTCTTTACGGAGTTTCTTCTTCGTCTGGGAGCGGTCAGCGACTCGCTTATCTTTCTTCTGGAAGAGAGGTGTCAAGCCGTTTTTCTTCCGTTCTAGGTTAATCTCCTGTTCCATGTCTCTGGATTCAGGAGTGGCGGTGAGGGTCAAGGTGGACACCGTCCAATCTATGCTAGGGTTGTTGGCGACTAGCCATGGTTGCCCAAGCAGGAATTTATCTGAGTATGTTAACTCAGCTAGGTAAAACTTTATGGGTAATACCCGTTCATCGATCTGGACCGTGAGGGTGCAGTATCGGGAGATAGGCCCTCCGGCCGTGGCAGATCCGTCCGCGTTGGTTACCGGGAGTGGTTTCCGCAGCGGGTGCGAGGAGATGCGGTGCTTCTTGCAATAATCCTTATTGATGAAGGATCAGCAGGTACCCGAGTCAACAACCATAGAAGTCGTTATTGGTGCTTCTCTTCTATCTGAAATCAAGGTTACAGGTACCTTGAATTCTTTCTTCTTACCGATGGTCTTAATTGACCTAATCGGGTCTTCATCGACAATCTTTCTCCTATCTCGGCAGAGATTGTCAGTGGCGCGGTGGCCAGTCATGTTGCAGTTGAAGCATCGCCTGCTATTAAGGCGGATGCGGATTTCTTTCCCGTTGAGATGGGAGGCCGCAGCGATCTTCGTGTGCATGGATGAGGGTCGGGCTTCATTCTTTTCTTGCCTGGCCAAGGCAGTCTTCTTCATCAGCACCTTCTTCGGGGACACTACGAGTGTACGGCGCTCTTCTTCGGGAGTCGTCCGTGAGGAGGATGCGATAGCATTGATGTAAGGCATTTCCTATCTACAATGCTGGTCGAGGCAAGGTGCAGTCTGATCTGGGGTGCGTCGCGTAGATAGGCGACGATTAGTTAAGACTTTAATCTTTTGTTATGCTGACCGTCGGTCGGCGTGTGCGAACTAGGATAGGTCTTCTCAGCGTAACACTGTGCTCTCAACAAATTCTCCCATTCCACCTCTCCCGGTGTCTTCATGGTTGATTCCACACATACTGTAAGCTATAGCATTTTGATATTTGCTTCTGATGGCCTTACCATTTTAGTGGCACTAGCCAAGGTCCCCAAGTGGCTCCCTGGCACTGAGCACCTCCAGACGCACCAGAACAGACTCCTGAATACCTTGCAATGTTGAATCACACCAACATGTCTCCCCATAGCCTTGATCTCAAGGTGGATGCGGTATGCACGATACAACAAAACATGTCAGTCAAAAATGTATTGGTGCGAAACGCATGCGCACACATCACTGCGCTTCATCACAGATCCGTCGAGGTCAAGATCCCTCAGATTGGAGAGACCCATTGCCTGCCTCACCTCATGTTCTCTTTCAAACCCCTGTGATGCACCTGGACAGTCAACCGCAAACAGCTTCCTCTCAGACCGGCATATGCGACCATGTTCAATGGTTGTCAAGGACTTGCATTGCAGAAAGCCGTGCTGGACCTTTGCACAGATTCCTTCGCACACGGACAGCTATACACGGCACTTTTGAGAGTGCGATGTCGTCGTGACATTTGAGCACTGTTTTCAATAGAGAATGACGAGGATAAGATGGCGGCTAACGTAGTGTACAGGCACCTATTACTGTGATGGAATATAGGGAACATCCAAAGGTGATCGGAACACTTGTAATCAATATGGATCAAGCTCAAGTGGTGTGCGCACATGATGTCGACACCAATCGGAATTCGCTCCGTTCTTATGATATGTAGAGATCACCATGTACTGAAATTTTGAGCCTCTGCATCTAACTTTCTTGTCGTTGTGTCTGAATGACTTTTGTGCAATAAGAAAATAAAATAAAATATTCAAAGTGGAATATGGAAGTATGGAAAACATATAGATGCGAGAGGCTCCAGAACACACTCACCAACATCGCGGAGATGCTGACACGGGGAGGCACACAGTGAGCATCTGGAGAGGCTGCTACTATGTTGAGGCTCTCCAGGGAACATACCGGGGTCACCCTCTGTGATGAGGCTCTGGTTACATGCTCTCGAGGGGATGGCCACATCCTTGGAAAACTAGGGAGAAGCCTCCTGGAGGAGGGGGTCTCTCAGACTATATATTTGCTACATAATAATAGGGTCTGACAGTACATGGGAACATCTTCAAAGTGCTGCCAAGGGTGGCGACGCAACAGTCAGGGGTGCATTGGATGCGCTGAACCATCACCAGTGGCTTCACCTGGCCTGCCATGGAATGCCTAATCGATGACCACCATTTGAATCTTCCTTCATGATGCATGATGGGCCGTTGATGATCAAGGACATCATCCGATCCAACTGGAAAAACCTGCAGTTTGTGTTCCTATCGGCTTGCCACACTACCGTGGGCGATGAGAAGAGTCCCAAATCCAATGAATTGATCCACCTCGCTGCCGCAATGCAATTCTCCGGATTTCATAGTGTGATCGGTTCCATGTGGTCTGTCAAGGATGAGGTTGCGCAGGAGGTTGTGTCTGGTTTTTACGAGAACCTGATCAATGATTCGGGGAGATTGGACTGCACACGCGCTGCAATGGCGTTGCACAAGGCTTTGAAGAAATTGCAGCGCGGTGATATTCCATTGGAACAGTGGATTGTATTTGTTCACATAGGTGTGTAGTTGGAGACTTGATTCGCTATATTATGCTATTTGCTGTATCTGTTAGTTGTTTTCATCCCCTCACTCTGCTAGTGATGCAGAAGTCCAGTTCAGTCCGGTTCAAGAGAAAATTTTGTGAACGCTGAATGCGACCGCACATTTGGTTCAGCTGCTAAGCTGAACGCTGAACTGGACATTCTCGAACGCGTTCGGGACGTCCAGTTCAGGTCCGGTTCATGTTTGAACGTTGAACACCAGGTTAGGACTTTGCAATAGTAACAGTAGGTCAATTGTATATATTACATGGCGAGGTAATCAACAAAGACTATGCATCTGTAGTAGTTAGATCAAGATCATCAGCAGTCACAGTAGCTAGAGGCTCTACATGAGCCGCTGCGTCTGCTGCAGCCTGAACATGCCCGTTTTGATAAGTACTTTTCAACAATTGTAAGGCCTCGAAGACATCGGGTGTGAGTCGATTGCGTCGACTGTGGTCCGTGATACCACCGCTTGAGAAGGCTCGTTCTGACGGTGTTGAAGAACCTTGAATAGCCAGATATGATGCACCTTGAACATATTGTTGCCATGTAATTAAGTACCTGAATGAGCATCCCGAAGATGGGTTCTGGACATAAATTAGATTATAATCTGAATAATGATGGACAGTGAGCTTACCAAAACATCAAGTAGATTACCGACGAAGTCAGACATCACTAATAGACATGTGTTGAGTGTTTTGGTCCTAAAGAGCCATTCTTGGTCATTCAATGTTCCCAGGACTGACAATGGCCATATTGAGTTTGTTGCCAGACGATCAGAGAAAATATTAGGATAGATGGATAGTAATAAGCCTGAGCACATCGAGTGGATCATATACAGATGTAGGAACGGTTCGAACACATCTGAACGGGTTTGGACGGGTTTGGAACTTTCAGGCATCAGCCGAACGCCGAACGTAATGATGCGTTCGGTCCTGAGAGCATGTCAAACGTCGGACCGGACCGACGGTCCAGTTCGGAAGGGTTCAGGTTCGAACCGAAGTTCTGAACCGGACTTCCGCATCACTACACTCTGCTGTTGCTTACTTATTTCTGCACAATACTTTGTTATTCTGTACTGTACTAGTGCCACACACTGTCTCGCTGAATGAATCTGATTTACTCCTGCATCGTCGCAGTTCTGAGCTATTAAGTGTAGTCGCAGCATATCATTGGGTGAGTGGTGCTACTTGCAAACTACGCTTGCTGCCCCCATGATGTATGTGATAGACACAATTACACTGTACCATGCCGGATCCTCTGTGATAACATCAATTTTTCAATACGAGTAAGATAGACTATAATCATATGCATGGCTGGAACATGTATGCAACAGAGCACTGAACAAAGTCGCAAGCGAAAGAATATTGGTTCAAGAACGAGAGTGCTGGCAGACTAAGCCACACGGGTTGTGCTCCATCGCTCTAGTCCCCGATGTGTTACGAACGACAAAAGCTGCAAGACGTTCCTACCGCATCGTGACGAAATTCACGGGACCGCGTACTGTTAGCTCGTCGCTCTGTCTGTCCATTTGAACCGCCTTGCTATCGTCGGAGTCGATGGTGTGCATTTCGTAACCATCAAACAACTCGAGATAGGTCAAATTTAGCTCACCAAGCCAAAGCTATACGACATTAAGGTTGACGAACGAAGCCCAATTGAAAGGTTCTCTTCCGTTGTAAAGGGTAACGTACCTGTAAATAAACTGAGCCACAACACAGAAAGGTCGAGCTACCAAGGGACTCGGTTAGGTCGGCCCGTCTGATGGTCAAACATGCCACGGTCAAGTTTAAAATTTAAAATTTGACCTATTTACTGCGACGAACTTGATCGGGGCCGCCGCATGTGCTGAGAGAGAGATTCTATATTTATATACAGCAACAAACAAAGCGAACCGTCACGACGCGGTACTCCATGGCAACTCTACTATGGGCTGCCCTGTGGGGTAGTGACTCTGCGAGAAAAGGGGAAATACTTAAGTAGTGTGGTACGACAATATTTGGTACATAATGTCTGTTTTGAGGTGTTGACTCGGATTTTTCCTAGCTTGCGCTTACTCATCCGAATTGCGTCTTCCCTCCACACTCGAAGTTCCTTCGACACCCTCCTCCGCTCGTCACCCAACCTGTTTGCATGTGCGTGCTGAGAAAACTGTAACTCATGCACGCACCTGGAGTGCGGGACGCGGCCAGCTGGGAGCCATCGTCAAAATTAATGTTGATTTGCACGTTAAATGCACTAGAAATCTGATTAATCCGAGTCGGATGACCAAGCGTCACATGAAAGGTTATCGATTATCCGGGAACTCGACTTCCGTTAAACTTCCGACAGATATTAATAAGGATAGTGCAGTCATAAGCAAGCTTATCTTTTCCCCTCCCCCAAACACTTCATCATGCCAACTGTACAACTTCCATGCAAGGTTCTCGTCTCTGGTGCGAACGGCTATATCGCGGTTTGGGTTGTCCGCACCCTTCTCGAGAAAGGGTACTCTGTCCGTGGAACAGTCCGGTCTGAGGAAAAGGCAGTACACCTCAGGCAACTGTTCAGCTCGTATGGTGATAAGCATGAGGTCGTCGTTGTTGAAGATATCACAAAGGTGCTCATACTCAAGAAAGTAATCGCGCGGGACCTTACGGTGATGTATTTCAAATAGGAAGGAGCCTTTGACGAGGCAGTTAAAGGTGTTGATGCTATTGAGCATACAGCCTCCCCTTTTCACATGAATGCAGATGACCCGGATGGTACATTGTCACGAATTAATGCCCTGATTTTTATTCATCTGTTTTCAGAACTTATCATTCCCGCAGTTAATGGTACAGTTGGAATGCTGAAGAGCGCTCTCAAGTATGGGTAGGTGCTTCCTGGTCGTCTGAAGATGTGCACTGTTGATTGATATCGCGTCAGCCAATCCGTCAAGCGTATCGTGATCACTTCATCGGGCGCTGCGGTTCTGCGTGACACGACAACGCCATTCACTTTCTCCGAACTGAACTGGAATGAGCAATGTCTGGAAATTCTGAGGGAAAAAGGTCGCGAAGCGCCTAATATGATGAAGTATCGTGCTTCGAAGACTCTCGCTGAGAAAGGTACGGGACAACCAGCATACTCATCGTGGGCTGGCGATTCTCATATTCTTACAGCGGCCTGGGAGTTCTGGAACAAACATAAAGCCAGTGTCGGCTGGGATCTCACTGTCCTTAACCCACCTTATGTGAGTTTTTTCAATCTCAGGAAGTTTAATCGGGATGAGCTCACCCATTTCTCAATGATAGGTCTTTGGGGTATATCATGTTTCTCGTTGGCTTTCCCATAGTTAACCTATTTTCATAATAGCCCGCTATCAATGAAGCCACAACACCATCCGGATTGAGCACGTCCTCAAAATTGTTCTACAACTATGTCGCCCATCCAAACTCCAGCGGAGCAACAAACGAGTTCCTTGCTTCCTTCGGTACAACCTGGATCGATGTGCGTGACCTTGCGGAAGCGCATGTCATCTCGCTCGAGAAGGAAGCTGCAGGTGGCGAACGAATTATCGTTAGTGCAGGTACGATAGCTCCGTCCATCCAGCAATGATCGAGCACTTACCTTTCTCCAGGACTTTGGAAATGGCAGGATTTCAGTAGGTGCTCTCCGTTGCTGTTGCTTTATCACTCACATGATATCTTGTAGTTGACGTTGCTAATACGATCTCGCCGCCACCGAAACTCGCAACAGGTGGTCTGCCGAAGGGTAACCCTGGTGCTGGTACTGGACACCCCTCCACAGTGCACTTCCTTCAATACGACACCACGAAGGCTGCGCGAATCCTGGGGCTCAAGTACCGAACTTTGGCAGAGATGACGAAGGACACGCTGGCAGACTATGAAGCAAAGGGATGGTAATACATTCTATACAAGAGCCCGAGATAAGTTGTATGTAGCGTCATGGATGAACAAGAGAATGAAAGTTTCTACACGATCAATACTGTAGATGCATGTGAAGCACGGGCAGTGGGTAGGTTAAAAGATTTTGGCACAGACGAGCAGCTCGAATTACCGACAACTTATCCGTGCGTTCTAAGTAATATTGTTACAGAACGCACTTATAAGTTGTCGGTCTCACGCCGCATTTTCTGGGCTGTTGTTGATCTATACCGTATATGCGCTAGGAGAACTAGCGGGGAGAGACGAAAGTTTCCACACGATCAATACTAGTAGATGCATGTGAAGCACGGGCGGTGGGCAGGCTAAAAGGTTTTAGCACTGTGAGACGAGCAGTTCGAATTACCGACAACTTATGCGTGCGTTCTATGTAATAGCAAGAATTCACGCCTTAGTTGTCGGTTTCACGCCCCATTTTCTGGGCTGTTGTTGATCTAGACCGTATACGCGCTAGGAGAACTAGCGGGGAGGGAGGCTAGGGTACATGAGCGCGAGTGCGATACGAGTGAGAAGACATATACACACCTCAGTATGCGTAGAACAATATTTACTGAGGTGTGCTACAGACCGATACGAGCTATATACGAAAGATAAAGGGAGCTTAGGTAATGAACCGGCGAAGAAGTTAGCGGAGGGCTCGTATGGTCAAGAAGCAAGAATTTCGAAGATGAGTGCGCTGCATGTGGTGTCGATGGTGATAAGAACAAGAAGGTAATGCGATGTCTAAAAGGTAAATCGTCATCTAACGTGAACATACTGAACGTGTCCATCTAACCGTCTGAAGGTACGGGAGTATGCACTTGTGGAAGCATTAACACCAGTAACTGTAGTTTAAATGTATCAGTCCTTGTAAATTATTGATTTGCACGAGGCGAGTCTATGCGAGGGTCTCTTGATTGTCCCTCGCCTGGGATAGCTAGTTCCAGCTCATTCCTGGATGCACTTCTCGGATGTCCTGGAGAAAATGGCCAGTTAAACTGAGACAAGTGAAAGATATGACTTTCATGTTTGCAGAATGATGGGCGCCGGATGATTTTAGGTATATGCCTTTTGAAGAACAGAGATGGTCGGAGAGTTTTGGTCTGTACGTTAACGGTACCTCTATGTATACAGACAAGACTCACCTTTATGCTCGTATCATGTATTCAAGCCCACAGCAGCAAACAAGATGACACACTTGCGCACCAAGAACAAACCACTTGTTCGGCGCATTCGCGTCGTTGCTATCTGAGTCGTTGATTACGGTTAGTACCTTCGGAGTTTGAAGAGGTCGGACGACATGACATGATCGCATGATTGTACGCCCTCTTCAAATTCCGATGTCTGAACATCTAGATTTGCGTATGTTGCCAGCTTGGATTGGTTCTCAAAATGTCAAGTTGCAAAAGATCGTGCTGATTTTAGAACCGTGGCCTAGGTAGATGTTTGTTGACGCCTATTAGGATTAGAAGCCGTTGACAGACAAGGCCAAACAGCCTTATACGTAAGTGACTCTACATGAGTCGGCCATGAGCCAAATTACATCAATCAATTTCTGTTTTTAGACCGCTTTTATCACCACGCCTTTTCAGCACAGAGTTTTGGTCATGATTGCTTGAGTGCTGAGGTCCACAGGACCCTCATACACATCTAGCATTACCCACGCGCCACGCGTTCTTGCCTTTCATCCATATTGATCACAATGGAAACAACTGAAGAACTCCAACAACTCGAAATTACAGCGTTAAAATCCATTTATGATACAGATTTCTTTGAGCCCCCACCGCCCAAGGCTTGGAAGGTCTGTCTGTCCGTCTTATTGAGCTAGTTCGTAAATGTGTATGTGCATGTCATGTCTAGGGAGCCACCAGATTGCCCGAATTCATCATCAAAGTCACCCACCCCGATCCAATCCATGCCTCCAAGGTCTACTTCCACCTACATATTAAGTCAGACAATCACAGTGCTCATATATATCTGTTCTAACAAACGTCTTGTCAGACTACCTAAAACATATCCCACCCTTGCCACTCCAGTATTCACTATACAGAAGCCTCGCGGTATCAACCATGATCATGAGATAACTCTTCAGAAGGCTATCCATTCTGAGGCTCAGATGCTCCGGGGATCTGAAATGGTCTTTCAGGTGCGCATATATCCACTGTCCAAGCTATGTTCGTGCCACTTATGGCGTGCGACCAGATCATCACGTCGGCTCAAGAGTGGCTAGCTGATCATGTCCATCCCGCCATTGAATCCTCCGGCTCTCTTGCCACTGAGATGACGAAGCGTGCCTTGGAAGAAGAAAAGGTACAATCCCCATGATTGTCTTACTGAAATGTATTGAGATCCGAATCAGGAACGAAAGCGACGAGAGGAGGAAGAGGCCGAAAGGGAGTTCGAGTTAGCAGCTCAACGTGCTGAAGAACTTCAAGAACAGATTCAGGCCGATGCGCAGAGACATATGCTTGCCAAGGAGATGCAGTATAAGGCAGCTCGGCGAAGGGCGCAGTCTGATGCTACTGAAGTTCCCTCATCAGGAGACACCCTCACAGAGTCGTTTCCAAACGAAATCGAATTCAGGGGAGTACGTTTTAATGCAGTCAAGATGTTTCATCCGCGAAAAGGTCAGTTTAATTTTACATTTGTATTGTCTAGGATATTTACCTCGTCGAGGAAGAGTGTCTTGGTATCACATACATTGCAGATCCGTTGTGTGACGACGTGAATGCAACACTGCCGCTCGAGGTTCACACGATCAGCTTTAACTCGGACTACTACACAACTACTCAAGGTCAGATAGACGCGCCTCATTCCAAGGCAGCTGGCTTATTTTTTCTAGGAAAGAAAAAGTTACTCGCAGCAGAAGCTGAGATCCAGAAGCTGATCAATATCCAACACCCAAACCTTCTAAGTACTCTTGCTGTCAAACTGCACTTTCCTTACTCTGCCGCTCCACCGCGCTTGACCATTCTCTCCGAACAAAGACCTGCGTTAACATTGCAAGACGTTCTTGAGGATTGTGAACGTCTTCGAGAAGATCGAGCATCGGTTTGTCGTGGAGTCTCTTAAACATTATCGCAGCATTGAAATGCTTTGACTCTTCTTCTAGGAATATCTTGGTCAGATTCTGTCTGCCCTGAACGCGGTCCATTCAGCAGATATAATTCACAGAGGTACGACCCGTGTCTTGACCTACACAACAACTCATATCATTCTAGGTCTTGACATTTCTTGCATTTATCTTGCTACGAGAGAGAATAGAACCCACGCCAAGATGGTCAGGATAGGGAAAGTTGGGTTTCATGCACGCTTGAAGGACTACCACAAGTCTAATCCGTTTGGAAACGGCATATCAAACGTGAACGAGGAAGAGTATATACGTCCTACACCTTGGTAA